GATTAACCATGCCATATGCAAAATGCGTCTTAATTGAAAAATAAAATATTTGTTTCAAAATAGAATATATGACAATATTTAAACATAATATATCCTAGACTGACAAATCATCAGTTCAGAATCCTTTTTCGTATACAATGATACTTATCATTGCATTCAAATTTAATCCCATCCATTACAGTAACCTACCGTACAGCAGAGCGACTTCCACGACGTACCCGCTTTTTTTCTTTTTAATTAAGTTTTTGTTATGTATGTATATTAAACTAAACTGTATCTAACAAAAAATTCTTATCGTTATGATGATACCATTTATATAAATTTATAATGATCATTGATCATATTACAAAAAAATCGTTTTATTCACGAATTACTAATTACAATKTACACATTTTATTTTTCACTCTCATTTTACCATATTATGTATGATGTCTTTAAGACTTATTCCAATAGAATGAATAAAATTTAAATATCCATATTAATAATAGTGTGATAATGCTACGGGCTATGACACTAATAGACGTTATATTAATTAGTAAGTATATTTTAAAATATAATATTCCCTGCACAATATAACACTAAGTTTCTAAACTTCATATGTGTTATTGTTTAAGATATTTAGAATTTATATTTAATAATGCATTTTAAAGTCTATAGGTTATTATAAATTTTGAATAAATTTCCTAGCATTTTTATCAAAACCCTGGAGYGTCATTAAGGAAAATTCCAAAAATGTTTTTCACTAGAGAGACATTCTTGAATATATACCTAATATGTACCATTTACCTAAGTTAAATATCCAATAGTTAAAGGAAAACTTTTGGTCTCTTAACAGGAATTTTCGAGACAAAAATCTGTATAATATATACACCAATCAGAGTTCAGAAACTAGGTACATTATTAATTGTGCATTTCACGCCGTGTTAATTAAAATTGAATATTATTATTTACACACGATCATTCTAGGTAAATTATAATTTCTAATAAYTATAATATATTATATTATAAAAATAAATATTATGTATTATAACTTTGATATTAAAACTTCAAAGATATTGTTACAAATCAAATCATAAAATAGTTTCGTTTGAATATAAAACATATATTATGTGAACTACGTATAAGAAAAACTAACATACATTTATCCATATGAGAATCGTAACTAATAAAATATACTGAAAATCATGCGGAAGAACGAAATAAAAACAAATTTAGAACCTCTACCGTGTATATATTTTGTATTTCAATTTTTTACGGAAAGAATTATTGAATATGACAGTTTTCTAAAATAAAATAGAAGCRTATAGCGAAAACCGTCAAAGCACTTGTGATGCGAGATACCAGTACACATGGTTGTATACGAGGGTATACAATATTGGGGAGGAAATAAAATTATATTCACAGGAGTAAACAGGAGAAMAATACCCAAGAAAATAGGAAATAACTACTGTAGTCTCTGTGGGTTTATTCGTTTTCATAAGAACAGACAGCTGCTTGAAGCATTGATAAAGGCAAAACAGGRAAATTAGAAAAATAATAATATAGAAATTGCATATAACATATTATGAAATATATTTCTAATAAACATTATCTTGTTTTTTATTTCAGGTAAGAACTCACATAATTAAATGGAAAATATCGAACGTTATCTAAAGAATATCTTAACGAATTTGAATTCACTCCGATAGTTGGTAAGTATAAGTTAAATCAGAAATCTTTGAAACAACCCTATTACAATCGTATCAATACCATTTTACTTTAATTATCAATAATTACAGCTTAGAATTATTATTAGATCTTTCATATAGATGATATATTTTATCAAATTTTGAAATATTTTAAAATATTAAAATACYAACAAAAAACAATCGTTTTCATGGCGGTCACTAAGCACTACTATCRCCCAAATAGTGAACTCTTTTCATATTTTTTATTTTTTTATCTCTTATAAGACATTATGATAACTTATGCGGCTTATGCTAATTACAGGAACTATTTAAACTCATCTAATCCATCAGTAAAATGTTTACTTAATCAAGCACTTAAAACTAAAACATAGTGACACGTATTTAAAGTGGATATTTTTAAGSCTAAGTGAAGAGTATTATTGAATGGAGCTTTTAAAGTAATGTGGAKGACATTTGATTGGAACCTTTGAATATAGTAGTTGGTATTATATACATTTTAATTGAGCCCTATAGAAGGATGCAATTGGTCTAAATGGGGCTTAGCAGTAGCTTATATTATAACAATTGGTTAATATTTCGTCTTATATTTTTTGAAGTTAAGAACGCGCGAAGAAAACGGAGGTGGTCGTACTAGAGTACACGTGCTATTTCTATGTTTTGTTCATGCACTGCAACCAAGTAAGTCGTCAATCGATGTTGACTAAACTAGCGTACGCAAAGGGCGGAAAACGAGTTGATTGTTGAGACTCCGAATTATTCGATGGCAATTATTAGTTATTATATCATTTTCTCGGCTATGTGAGACTTGTATAGAATGCCTACCTACCGATGATCATATTATTATTATATTGTGTTTTTAATTAAAACAATTGACATCAATATGGTATTGCGCGTGTGTGTTATTTGATATACGTAAAAACCGTCTACGAATAAGACGAATTATTCGTTCCATTCAYGAAATTCACTTTGATGCGAGACAAAATCGGTCGAATAGTTGGCGCACGATTGTAATATTATTATTTAGAGTATTTACTACTGCGTGAATTTTCCTCGATTGTTTGTTACACTGCAGTACAAAACGGTAATGTACCGGGACACGRTGGAAAAACAACTGGTGTACGTTTCATTAAACCAGCGTGCCTATATAATACAATCTCCTCGAGTGCGTGTGTACGGATAGTAATTTCGCTGGAATTCGAAAGCGTTCAGACGAACTTAGAATATTTGTAGTTGTTGTGTCAGGAGATTCGTCGAATTTCGTACTTGTACGTACTCGTGGGTGCCTTGATAATATGGAGCGTAATTCGTGGCGTTCTTATTATATGATATTATTATATGGTACGAGACACACACACGTCATTATACGATACAACAATATAATAATATTATTTTGTATTACTGTGGAAATAAAATACGTKACGCAGTGCGAAGCAACGTGCGGCGAGTCCCGTTTTCCCGGCACGGTTTTAACAAAAAAATCGTGCTCAGTGTAGTCGTCGCCTAACACTGTAGATACTGCTGCACACATACGTCACAGCGTTGATAATATTATTATTATTTTAAGGGTTATAAAAAGAACGAGGCCACACAAGCGCAAGCGCAGTCCCGAGTCAGGCACAGTGTCACCTCAACCCTGCATGATTTCTGCGGCGGAATCCTTCGCAAACATCTTGCAGATTCCTGGTTTTCGCGTCAACAATAATATAACCACGCATACGAATAATACGTCATACATAACAATAATATTATATTTTTTATTAATTGTATTATTTAACTTTAAGCATCGAAGTCTGCGTTTTGCGAGGGTGGTGATGGTTTTCGCCGCTAAGAACCCACGAAGGTCATCGGTCTGAGAGCATGTGATAACGGACAATATTTTACCACATAGCACACGTTAGAAACTAAGAACAACTACCGTGCCACACTAGGTTCCCTGTCATCATATTATTATGGGCATCGGATTTCCTTATGTTATGGAACATAACAATAGGTATATTCAATATTGTGCGAAATCTGAGGGAGTAAATAACGTGTCACCTATTCCAATATCTTATAAGCCTGGCACTAACTAAAATTATTATTATTTATGATTATAATTATTATTATTATTATGATTACGATTATTTTTATAGCTTAATTGTTATCACATACGTAACAATGCACACTCGATACGTCTTCGAAGCGTTATTGTGTTGTTATTTCAGTCGCTATTCGTCCGCAGGGTATAATACATATAGGTATTATGGATAACGCTTGAAATTTATAAAAACAAATTCCCATARGAGATCAATTACTCGTCCGTTTAAAGTAAAACATAAAACTCAAACTGATATAGGAAAAAAAGGTTCTTAGAAAAGCATTGACAGCTGTTATATTTATAGTTCGACTCCAATACCGCTAAAAAAATATTATTCCTCCGAGGATATCTAAGTTTCGTTTATGTCAATGGGGCTCACATTTGAATATTGAAAGTTATAGTCAACTTTCGAAAGTTCTTATTTTTCCATAGAAACTTCAGACGTTTCAGATGTATAGATGTATACGATTTTTACTGAAGCAATTTGGTAGTTTTTCTACCGGAGGGTAAACATAAATAAAAATTTCATAGTTTTGCAACTCTTGGGACAATTTACCTAAACAAATTTTCAGGATACTCGTTTGTTTATTTTAGATTAACTTTTGCATGGAATATTTTATGTTTTACTTTTTATTTTATTTTTGATGCTTCAAAAGTTTAAACTTTTCTATGAAACTTTTGCCAATAATATTTTCCAATTTTACGCAATCTAAATAAAATAAAAATAATAAATCATCCAATACCTATTACATTTCAATTTACAAAAGATGATTCCGATATTAAATAATCTTAGCATATTATAATTATTAAAAAATTTAATGATTTTTCTTTATATTAAAACTACCACAACTTGTACAATTTTATTAATGTTCAATAAATATTATTATTTATTTTTCCTTGAAAATACTTTAACTTATATCAATTAAACATAACACCATTATATAAATTAAATTAAATTTAATGTGCCTTTTAGTTTTTGATTAGTATTGAAATTCTGTATTTCAAAACATGTAATTAATTTGGATTTACCCATTAATATACAATAGAATAATATTCTTAAAATATTTTACAAACATATAAGTGTGTAAAAAATAAATTGATATTAATAATATCATTTATATATTTCAATAACCACCGAATGTTATTTCGATAACCGAGAATAAATTATACTTTTTTTTACAACTACCGTTTCAGACTCTAAACGTATTTTTGTTGTGTAGTTGCTGGTTATACTAGCTCTGAAATATTAACTTTCAAAATAATTCAAAATAATATATATGTACCATTTAACGCACTAATTTTTATTACTCTCAAGTACAATGGTTTCAAATTGTGTATGTCAAAGTTTAGAGGTGATGTCGATTGATACGTAAATTATTCGTATTTCAGCGTCAACGTAAAAGGTTTACGAATAAAGTATAATATATAAATGGATTGACTCTTGGCGCTGATTGATATCAGAGCTGCGGCAAGGGGAGGACTATATTTAGGTTTTTAAAAACTATAAATAGTACATGCGTATACATATAGTCGTCTTCGTAACCCTCGGGCACATCTCCTAACGACCTGGTGTATCTATATATACGCACGCGAGTATGTGGGGGTGCCCTTGTAGCGGGGTAATCGAGGTAGTGAGGCAGTTAGGGCGGCAAAAGAGGACGAAGTGTGTAAAAAAAAAAAACGAGCAAAGAAGAGAATAAGCGAGCGCGGCTTCGGCGGCGGTGGTAAACCCGAAAAATTAAGGACAAAAGAAATAAAATTGATGAGTTTTCTGGAAAGAGCTGAGAGCGAGGGCGCGCGGGATTTTCCCGTGTGTCACGACGGCGGGTCGGGGATGCTGTGTTTCGCCGGCGGGCGGTTGATTGATGAGCCGCCAGTTGTGTAGGACACGGGTGGACGTGGTATTTTCGGGGTGGTTCGAGGGGTAGAGACTTTAGTGAAGTAGTGGTAGCTGGATGGGGTGATTTGGAGAGCGAGGTGGGAGAGTAGAAGGTCTAACCGACGTCTGAGATATCGCCTCCCATCCGATTGATAGCTGGATAGACGTCTTCGAATACCGGCAATTTTTACGGACAGACACGAGCGTTTTCTCCACCGCCGCCACGCCCCGACGTTGTTTCTGCCAGCGCAAATTGTACGCAATTTCTTATTGCCTCGTCTCGAGGTAGTGTGTCCCGYGTACCATTCGCAATAGTGTAGCGTTACTGTTCGCGGCGGGTGTGTTGGCAGGGTGAGGGGTAATGACGTGCGGGTGAGGTGCGATTGACGACGGTCGAACGTTGGGGAGGGGTCGGATGAGGAAGTAATAGAGATTCCAATCCCGGGATACGGTTAATCCGTTGGTACACGTATTACGTACCCGTTGTAGATTCCACCAAATTATGTATGTGTGTGTGTGTGTGTGTGTGTGTGTGTGTGTGTGTGTGTATTATGTACTTGATATGGACCTACCACTAACGCCGGTTAAAATGTCCAAACGAACGTTCCCTTAAATTTTATGGCTAAAGTTTTCAAACGAATCCAATTAAACGCCGGACGAAAGGGGCATATTTATTTCCTTCCAACTACCCCTTTGTAGGCACCCTATACAACTAGCACATGCAATTTTGGCTTCGTCTTTCACAGGGTTCACGGCTTCGGAGACGGAGTCATAGATACCATGGCTATGCGACGTCACAATTGTTGTTGATGCTACAAATGGACATCTGAACGGGCTTTTTACATCACTATAAAAATAAAACTCCTTAGGGGGTTGCTATGTACGCGCGCGTGCGCACGCCCACGTGTATGTGTGCATGAAGTAATAAGAGATTTTTAAGCGAGTGAGAATGAGCTAGGTGGATGGTTCGCGTGACTGAATTCCGGACTATGATTTTTTTTTTTTTTTAACAGACACTATCACGCGCTTGTTCAATTACGAAAATAA